ATCTCCAAGAATAGGAAAGTATTTGTTTTGATTGTGAATTGCTAGACTTGACGAAGATGTGTCTGACTGAAAGTCTGTCAGAATGAAATCTTTTCCTTGGAAAGTTAGGTAATTGTAAGTTTGTCATGTACATTCTCCTGAAGGATGATTGGTTCCCTTGTGGCAGAGAATTGGAGAAAGCATAGCTTTCTTATTTCATGTGCAATTTGTTTGTTTACTTAGGTGCCCAGAGGCTTGCCTTACTTTGCTGTAGACTTTGGCCTTCAGGGAGGATTTGCCCACGTCATTGAAAATCAACACAAATTTCCTCATTACTTTGGAAAGGTAAACTCAGAAATTTGATAAAACCCTGGAGTTTAGTGGTTTGGTTAATACAAGGGTGCGAAAGAAAATTAGAAGTTTGGACACAGTATACAAGAATTTGGTGAGTTGTTCTCTATACAAGTTTGAGAGAGGGGTGGGGTTAGGATGTAACAATAAAAATGTACCAGATTATTAATGATTGAGTAAGAGACATCATTGTGCAACAGACTTTTTGACAGTGTGCTCAGTCTCAGTAACTGTAATGTTGTCCTGACTTTGGAGTCTGGCAGCTTTATCCTGAAAAAATTGTGGCACTTGCTAATGTTTATTAAGGGCTTACAGTGTGCCCATTTACTGTCAGAGCAGTCATCTAGTGCTCACAGTAACTCTATTGTCTACATTTTGTTCTAACATTTGTTGTACAGAACTCTAAACTGCAGACAGAGAGGTTATGTAACTTGTCTAGGGTTTTGTGCTAAATGAGAGAACCCAGGTACCACAGGTCATAGTTAATGCAGATAATAAATTGTTTCAGCTCTTCATTTATAGTTAAGGTATAATCCAGGAAAAATAAATGACTCATTGCACATAGCTAGGTTCTGGGCACATAGGAAAGGCCCAGTCATTTGATTGGCAGTAGTTTCTTTCGGGGAAGAAAAAAAAAATGCCTTCCTAAGAGTATATTCCTTAAATTAGGAGTCTATTTACTAAGTATCTAAATTCTTGTCAGAAACTGGAATGAAATTAATGTAGCATTTGAAATTGGCAAAATGAATCTAGGCCTAGCTCAGGCCTTTTTGTATAACCTCTATGTACCTATACTGAGAGAGAGAGGAGCCTTGATAAACTCTGCTAAGGGTTCCTAATGGCCCACCCTGCTTGACCCTCTACCCTACTCTCATCTGCCTGAGACAATCTTCTACAATGAATTGGGATGTGCCAAGAGGAAACAAAGCTCCAATGGTTTGGATCCAGAACTCACTATGCTGCTGTCCTTAATGAGTACCCAGATTCCAAAATCACATGAATTTTTGAATTCTTGCTTATACATTCTCACATAGCTCAGGCTGGTCTGAACTCATAGCTGAATATGTGCTTTTACTTCTGATCATCCTGCCTCCACCTCCTGATTCCAAGAATGTACCATCAGGCCTGTTTTTTTTATAGCCTTGGGGATCAAACCCACAGCTTCATGCATGTCAGATGCACTCTACTACTCTACCAACAGAGTTGTATCCCATCCCTTGTTTAAGAAGTTTGCAGAATTTTTTTTCTATAAAATTAACAACAAGAAGTAACCAAAACAACAATAACAACAACAAAACCTTTGTTTTCACTGCTCTGAAAAATCCTGTTGTTGTTCCCTAGAGATTTTTAACTAATCTTTAGCTCTAGATTCATTGTTTTAAAAATTTGTTTCTAGAGAAAAGGATACCACTAACTCATTGATTTACTTACTAAATTTTCATTGGGAGATTTGCCTTCCCTTCAAATAATACTCATGCATTGTTCTTATATAATACATTTTTAAGATTGAATGGGCGGTTTCCCCATGCCTCAGAGTATGCTTTTTAGGAAATACTTTGGATTCTCCTTTGACTTGCTGCCTAAGAAATTACTCAGAGAACAATGGAAAAATGATCTCAGTGCAGTAAAAGAATGAGAACCCGTTTTGCACTGTCACATAATGCATGCAGGGGTCTAGAGACAGTTAAGACAGACACATAAACTACCCTTTCTCGGACTGTACTGTAGATGGCCTAATGCCAGGAAATTCTTGCACTAAATCTGACTTTCTCCTGAGATCATATACAGAGTACTTTCTTAATGGCGGGTGGTTTCTTTTTCTGATTTGTCCAACAAGTAGGACATTTGTTTATTTGTTTTAAATGTGTTATGGTCTTTGCCAGCTCTTTTCCCACTGTATAGCTGAGACTTTATTATTCTGCTTCTCACCACATCTCCATATTCTCTTATGAGCTCTCTGTTGACATATTAGTTATCTTTATGAGCAAGGAAATTAAATTTTACTTTCTTCCTCCCTTTTGTTACCATTAGATAGATATACTAATGAGCAACCAAGCAGACAAATTGCTTCACCGGAGATACCACAAGAACTCTGAGGATCACAGAGTTTGAAATTAAGATTTGAAATAAGGTTTATTTTGCTTGAAACTAATATGTAGTATGTATACATTGTCACAAGGAGTTACTTAATATTATATTTAATAGCAAGATAAATGAGTAGTTTCCTTCTTGATTACATTGTTTATACATGTATATATTCATATTTTTCTTACTCTTTAAAAGGAAATCATTGGTGGTATGCTGGATCTAGAGCCCAGGCTGTGGAGGAAGGGCATTGGAGAAAGCTTTGAGGACCAGAGGAAGAAAGTGTTGCAGTTTGCTCAGTGGTGGAAACCATTTGATGTCACCAAAAATAAAAGCTCTTAAGTGTATCCTGCATGTGTCATTTCCACTGCTGAGCCCACTCAGTTTATGTTTATTATATTTATAATCAACTTTGCCTTGACCCCTAGGGAAAGGAGCAGCAGCTGGCCACTCTAGTCACTGACACCCATGTTAGGTCAAGTTGTTTTCTTCCTCATGGCTCCTGGAGACTTAGTTTGGTGATTGTGGAATAAGAGCAGGTGTATCAGGATAATTGGTTCACATTCCTTTCTTTATCTACTTCTGGCTATTCCAAATTATTTGGTTACTCTAGAAAAGAACTTGTCTCCAGGGGTCTAGCAAGGCTCCAGGGGAAAGTGAGTCTGCTTCCATGTAGAGTCTGTCGCCTAGCTTCTATTTTGCTTTTTATATAAAACTAGATGTATTCAGTACTAAGTGAAATTTATTTTCATAGTTTTATGGAAGAGTTCTTTTTTTTCTTTTTCTACTAGTAGCATATAGTATCACTCTGTATTATCTCTGTTAAAGAAAAGGATTAAAAAATTAAATGATAATGAGAATATACATAAACGCAAACTTGTTTTTATTTTGGGACCTTTAAGTAGTCTGAATTTTGGTAATTTCCAAAGCAATTTTTCTAAAGAGCACAATTCTCAGTTGTTTGGGGTTCATATAAAGTTAAAATCTGTAGCCAAATCACTGTGTTGGGGTCTTAATATTGTCACAAATGTTCAATAATGTAAGTATTCAGGGAATGTTCTCTTGTTCCTACTTGATTAAAGGTACTTAACTTTTATTGTTCTTAATTAACATTTGATCTTGAGAAAACCTTGTATTTATAAAATGTGTGTTATAGTAAGTTTTTTTTTAAAATTCAAACTGTAGTATTTTATTATAAAATGTTAGTGACTAGAATCACTGTGAAGTATGTTCCAGAGTAACTTGTGATGCATTTATTTTAAAGTTAGGCTGCCACTGTTCCCGTGTATGTTCTTTGTATGTTAAAAAAGGCAACTGTTTTTGTTCTTTTAAAATTTCACAAATAATGATAACACTTAATGGTTTTAATTTTCTATACATATAAATTACATCTAAGTGTGTATGTGTGTTTATATAGTAAACAGGTGTGACAGTATTGTATGTTTTCAAACTATTAGCTTTGTCTCAAATCTTAAACAAATCTAAAACTTTCATTTTTAAAATCACTGAGTTAAAACATTTGTTTATGAAGTGCTAATTCGTGTTGATAGTTCAAAAAATATGAATACTCCTGCTTTACATTCTACAGAATCTGTAGCAGGTATATCCCAATGTACTCTTTGTCCTGGTTCCAGTTACTTCTTGTTTTGTTTTGTTTTGTTGTTGTTTGTTTTTTGAGACAGGGTTTCTCTGTCTTTGCTCCTTTCCCAGAACTCACTCTGTAGCCCAGGCTGGCCTCGAACTCACAGAGATCCTCCTGCCTCTGCCTCCCGAGTGCTGGGATTAAAGGCCTGCGCCACCACCACACGACTAATTACTTCTTGATGCACAATTTGTCAAAACCTCAGTGGCTTGTAATAATAACTATTATCTTGTACCTTTTGGTTGGGGCTTTTGATGATTTGCCTTTATGATGTCTGGGTCCTCTGCTAAAGTGGCTCAAACATCTGGAGATGACTGGAATTGTTTCTTGAGGCTTTTGTTCTTTATACTGCAAATGCTAATGTTCTATGTGGCTTTGTCACTTATGTACCTAGTGTCTGGGCTGGGGAACAGCAGCAGGGAATCTTTTGGTATCATTTTCTCTATACATGCTATCTTCAGAATAGTTAGATTTTTTTCTCTTCCTTAAAACTCCCCCAGAGCAACTATTTCAAAGGAAAACTTCAGCAAGTAGGATATGCCAGTCCCCAAGGCAGAGCCTAGATACTAGTATAACTTGATATTTCTGTATTATGTTTGTCAAACATGGCTTAGAGACTACCTACATTTAAGAAGAGGGATAGGGCTGAGCATGAAAGTGTAAGTCTTTAATCCCAACACTTGGAAGGCAGGCAGGCATGTCTCTGTTAATTCAAGGCCAGCCTGGTCTATGTAGTCACAGGTCAGACTATTTAGGGAGATCTAGTCTTAAAAAAACCAAAACCAGCCGGGCGGTGGTGGCGCACGCCTTTAATCCCAGCACTCGGGAGGCAGAGCCAGGCGGATCTTTGTGAGTTCGAGGCCAGCCTGGTCTACAGAGCGAGATCCAGGAAAGGCGCAAAGCTACACAGAGAAACCCTGTCTCGAAAAACCAAAAAAAAAAAAAAAAAAAAAAAACCAAAACCAAGCCAAACAAACAAACAAACAAAATAGTGAGTGAGTGGGTGGGTGGGTGTTGTAATCTTGCCTTTGATAGAAGAAATGTGAAATAATGTATGACCACTTTTATTTCATTGCAATTTGCTCTGCCTACAAATTTATATTTCTTTCCTGTTTAAAAAAAAAATCTACAGCAGTGAGAGTAGCATATGTTAATGCTGTAGACATTGTCATTGAAAAGGAGACAGTCAGGAGAAATGTTCAGTCCATATTCTCTAGTGAGTCTGAAATTAAATTGGGCATATGTATTAGAGCCTCAGTCTGTTCTTGAGAAGTGTCTAGCTCTTTTCTCTATTTTTGGTGCTCTTAATTCAGTTAAGTTGGCCTTCCTTTTGCATAAGAAATTGTTCAGGAATTATACCTGTAGACTAAATAGAGTGACCATGTTGCCTTTCTGCCTCAAATCATCAACAGACAACATAAATCAAACCATAATTTTCAGGTAAGCAGAATCAGAATCAGAACAAAGTTTGGTGATCTCTGAGAGACAGGAACAAGTGAGACAACTTGTCTAAGTCCTGTCCTATCACTTTGAGTATGTCCATAAGGTGGGGGATCCAGGAAGAACCTGTTGCATTATTCACCTTGAGTATGTCCACAAGGCGGCGCGGGGGGGGGGGGGCATCCAGGAAGAGTCTTTTGCATCATTCAACTTAAAGAAAAACAGTTTTCAGTACAGAGATATCTAGACCACAAGGCAGTTACTAAAGGAGAGTTTGCTAAACAGAGATCTACAGGAGATCTACATTAGTGTATATATGAGGAGGCATTCTTTAGTTAAAGATTAACCTACTTGAGAGTTAACAGTAACATTGTTTATCTACCAGAATGTAAAAATGTATGATTGACTGAGATTAGAGAGGCAGAATGTTAGCACAGAGTGTGGAATAATAGTTGTGATAGTTTAGAATTATTGCTTCAATTCTGAGTGCTGATCTAGTTTAGAGAAACAGATTTTAGAAGAGGCAAAGGTACGAAACTGTTTCCAAGCAAATTAATTGCAGTGTAGAACAAAGCTCAAAAGTAAAAAAAAAAAATTCCATTAATCAGAACATGTTGAAATACCCAATGTCCAATTAAAAAAAAAAAAAGCCACACAAAGCACCAAAATGGCAACTGCTTGGATAAGTATGTTTTGTTTTTTTTCTTTAGAAGATAAGTACTATTTAAACAAAAATTATGAGGAATTTATAGCATCTAAAAGTAAAATCATAAATAGTAGTGAAGATATGTAAAGGGAAGGAGTAGTAGAAGTTTGTTGCTCTATTCTTGAAGTGTTAATAACTTAAATATAGACTTTGGTAAGTTAAAAGTACATGAATACAATTTCTAAAGAAGACCTTAAGGTTAAGAGAAAAATATAGTTGAAAAAGCAAATAAAGAAGATAAAAAAATATCAGGAGACTAGAAAAGCAAAGTACAAGTGAGACAAATAAAAAAACATTTTTTTACCCTTCACACACCAATAATAATTTCCTCCTTTTGTGTAACAAATTTCCACAAGACTTACAGCAACTTCTTTTACCTGTTTTCATAGCATCTGTGCCAGGACATCAGGCACACTTAGTCAAGGTTGTGATCATTGCCAGGCAGGACAGGCTCTTCATGTGGAAGCTGTACTGGTTAAAGATCTCCTTTCTCACCTACATGGTTGTTTGCTACATTCATATCCTTTCAACCAGGAAGGATAGCTTCATGTGTTTTCCATGCTGTTGGCCATCTTCTATGTATGGCATTAACAGTTCTTCACTACATATGTTTACCAACATTGCCAGTTACTTCTTCATAGTCAATTCAATATCAGAGGGTTGCCTCTTTTCAGTGTCAGAATCCCAACTTTGTGGCCCTGGCTAGCTAGAAGTTTTGGAACCCCACAGGGTTTGGAATAAAGTTTGCTTCTGGTTAATAAGCTTTGGTGGTCTGGTCCCCATTATTTGTGCAACCTCAAGACCTAACAGGCTTTGTGTCTTTCTTGGGGTTTCTATGCTGTGATGAAACACCATGACCATAAAGCAAGTTGGGAGGAAAGGGTTAATTTGGCTTACACTTCAGCATTGCTTTCCTCACTGAAGGAAGTCAGGCCAGGAACTTTTTGCATGAATCCTGATTGGTCTTATAATAAAAACCCAGAGCCAGATATCAGGGTGAAAGCTGAAGGATCAGAGAAACAGAGCAAGCCTCAGCCACCACCTCTTACCTCACCAGCTCCTTAGCCTGCCAGAACCAGTTCCTGTCTCTTCGCTCCTTATATTCCTTTCTCTGTCCAGCCATATCACTTCCTGTCTCAACCTTCCTAGTGCTGGGATTAAAGGTGTATGCCACCACCAACTGGCTCAGTTTCCATTTTATACTGGACTAATCAATCTCGTAGCCCAGTGTGGCCTTGAACTCACAGAAATCCAGTTGGATCTCTGCCTCTACCTCCAAAAGTGCTGAGATTAAAGGTGTGTGCCACCACTGCCTGACATCTATGGCTGACTCTGGCTAGCTTTGTCCCCCGATCTTCAGGCAAGCTTTATTTTCTAGAATAAAAACAATATATCACCACAGGAATTCAAACAGGGCAGGAACCCGGAGGTAGGAACTGATGCAGAGGCCATGGATGGGTGCTGCTTACAGTCTTGCTTTCTATGACTTGCTCAGCCAACCTTTTAGAACCCAGGACCAACAGCCCAGAAATGTCACCACCCACCATGGGCTGGGCTTTCCCCCATTGATCACTAGTTGAAAAAAAAATGCCTTAGAGCTGGATCTCAAGGAGGCATTTCCTCAACTGAGGCTCCTTACTGTCATGACTAACTTGGGTCAAGTTGACACAGAAAACCAGCCAGTGCATTGGGTTTGCATTTGGTCTAGTTGTTGGCTGAAAGGGTCCAGTGGAGATCCCAAAAAACCCAGGCTGATGCTAGGACAGAAGGTCGCTCTCGAAAACTGACAGTAGGAGAGGGACAACATCCATACAGATCATTGAATGTGGAGAGGTTGAGCTGGTGCCTGCGTGGAGCTTTCACCCCTATGTTCTAATCTCTTTGGCACAAGAATGTACTCTGAAGGCTATAGAAACAGAAACCTGGATACCAACCCAACCATGAAACCTTCAACCTACAATTTGTCCTTCCTGCAAGAAGTTCTAGGGCAATGGTGGCCCAGAACTTGTGGGAGTGGCCAACCAATATTTGGTTTAATTTGATACATGCACCACAAGAGGGTGCCCATGTCCTACACTGCCTTGATGGCCAGGAACTGGAGACTGGAAAGCACGGGGATCTAGGGTAGAACCAAGCACAACTGGCATACATACATACAGACAGACAGACATACACACACACACACATACCCACACACTTGTATATATATCAATGAAATGATTCCTAATGATACTCTGCTATATTCATGGGTCAGTGCCTTGTCCAGTTGTCATCAGAGAGGCTTCTTCCAACAGCAGAGAAAAGTGGGTGCAGAGACCCACAGCCAGATATTATGTAGAGAGTCTAAATTGGAGGTTTCCATGTTCCTTCCTGGAGGAACCCCACAGAAAAGAGGGAGGAAAGATTGTAGGAGTCAGGGAAGGGAGAACATGGCCCACTGAATCAACTACTCGGGGCTTATGGGCTCACAGAGACTGAGGCAGCCACTTCAGGGTATGCATGGGTTTACAGTAGGTCCTCTGTGCATGTTACGACTGTTAGCTTGGTGTTTTTGTGGGACTGCTAACAGTGAGAAAAGATGTATCTCTGACTCTTTTGCGTGCTCTTAGGACTCTTCCTTCTATTGGGTTGCCTTTTCCAGCCTTGATATGAGGGCTTTGGCCTTGTCTTATTGTATCTTGTTTTGACCTGTTTGGTTATTGTCTCTTTAGAGGCTTGCTCCTTTCTGAAGGGAAACAGAGGGGGAAAAAAACCTAAGGAAAGGTGAGGTGGGAAGGGCTGTCAGGAGTGGAGGGAGGGGAAACTAGTCAGGATGTATCATATAAAAGAATATTTTCAATAAAAATAATTTTTAAAAATGGTGGACTCTTCCCTCAAGTTGTGAGCTAAAATAAACTTCTTGGTTTTTTTTGTTTGTTTATTTGTTTTCAGAATATTTTATGACAACAGGAAAAGGAACTAAGACAATAGTCCTTGGGAGCTTGTGCAGTCTTTGCTCTAATAAAATAAGGACTAGCATAAATGTTTCAAATTGATCAAACAACAAATGAAAAAACAACACTATTAGAAGTACCAAACAGGCCAAGACCTTTCAGAGATTCCTTTGTATATTCTGTGATACTTGCCATATTTCTCTGGGTAAGGCAGAATTGGAGCAGAAATTGTGGTCTTGTGTATATATGTATGTATGTATGTATGTATGTATGTACATATGTAACTATTTATTTTAAGGCAAGATCTTACTATCTAGTTCAGGCTGGACTTAAACTCACTATCTTTGTACATTAGTCTCCTCAGTACTGTGACTACAGGTGCACACCTCCCTGCCTGGCATAGAAATGGCCCACGGTATTTATATCCTCTTTATTTTTATTATTTGTGGTTTTTTAAATCATTGGAATGGATTAGATAATAATACTAGAGGGAAGATCCATGAATTACTAACCACATCATAACTGTAGAATTGTATATGCATGTTTTCCTACCTGAGTTAAGTCCCAGAAGCTCAAGCTTCTTAAATATCCTTGTATATATGCATACTTAAATATGTGGGTACATCTGCATGTAAAGGCCAGATCACAAGTCAGATGTCTTTCTCTGTCTTTGCCTATCTTCTTTCAGACAAAGTCTCACTAATCTATAAGCCCGCCACTTCCACTAGGCTGGCTGGCCTAGCCTTGGCCTTTTTGTGATCAGCCTTCTTTGCCTTCCAATGCTGGTATTATGTGTACACAGAGGCATGCCCATGGATTCTGATGATTCAAGCTCAAGTCTTTCTACTTACTTAGAATGTACTGTTACCAACTGGGCCATCTCTTTGGGCCTCTTGATAAAAAATCTAAAAACTTTAGAAACTTTCAGTAATTTCCAAATGTCATAATCTATACTAAATAATTTTTATTCATGATTCATTGGTTTATTTTTATTCATTTGTTATTTATATATTACATCCCAAACATAGTTTCCCCTCCCTCCTCTCCTCCTAGTCCCTCACCCTCACCCCTTGCATCCACTCCTGTCCATTTCCCTTCATAAAAGGGCAGGCCTCCTAGAGATATCAATCAAACGTGGCATATTAAGTTGCAATAAGACTAGGCACCTCCCCTCATATTAAGGCTGGATGAGGCGACCCAGTGAGAGGAAAACGATTCTAAAAGCAGCCAAAAGAGTCAGACATAGACCTTGTTCCCACTGTTAGGAGTCCCACAACAAGACCAAGCTATACAACCATAACATATATGCAGAGGGCCTAGGTCAGACCTATGCAGGCTCTCTGATTGTCAATTCAGTCTCTTTGAACCCCTATGGGCCCAGGTTAGTTGATTCTGTGAGTTTTCTTGTGGTGTACTTGTTCCCTCTGGCTCTTAAAATTATTCCTCTCTGTCTTCCACAGGATTTCGCTAGCTCCACTTAATGTTTGACTCTGCATCTCTGCATCTGTTTCCATCAGTTTCTAGATGAAGCATCTCTGATGACAGTTATGCTAGGCTCCTTTCTATGAGTATAGCAGAACATCATTAGGCATCATTTCATTGATGTTTTTGTGGTGGTGGTTGTTGCTGGTTGTGTTTCATTCTATTCTAGTTACCTGGGCTATTCGGTCTCTGGTTCCTGGTCCTCCATGCAGTGTCAGAGGTAGGTTCCCTTTCATGGCATGTGTCTCAAGCTGAACTCATCATTGGTTGGCCACTACCCTAATGTCTACACCACCTTTACTACAGTATATCTTGTAGACAGGACAAATTGTAGGTTGAAGTTTTTGAGGCTGGGTTGGTGTCCCAATCCCTCCACTGGAAGTCTTGCCTATTTACAGGGGATGACCAGTTCAGGTTCAGTGCCCCCTTTACTAGGAGTCTTAACTAGGGCCACCCTCATAGATTGCTAGGAGGTTCCATTGCTCTAGGTGTCTACCTTGCTTCTGTAATGCCTCCCAATTCCAATTGTCTCTCCAAGTACTCCCTTGCTCCATCTCCCCCCCCCCCAACCTGTTCCCTCCTGTTCTGGTCCCTATCCACTCCTAGTCCACCTGTGATATGTATTCTTTTTATGCCTCCCAGGGACATTTGTGAATCCTCCCTTAAGCCCTCCTTGTTACTTAGAATCTGGGTCTGTGGATTGCAGCATGGTTATCCTATACTTTACAACTAATATACACTTATAAGTGAGTACATACCATGTTTGTCTCTCTGGGTCTGGGTTACCTCACTCAGGGTGATTTTTTTTCTACTTCCAGCCATTTTTCTAACAGTCAAGTAATACTCCCTTGTGTAAAAGTACCACATTTTCTTTATTCATTCTTCAGTTGGGAGACATCTAGCTTCTTTCCAGTTTCTGGCTATTAAAAATAAAGCTGCTATGCTATGAACATAATTGAACAACTGTCCTTGAGAAGAATGAAGCATCTCTTACATATATGCTCAGGAATGATATAACTAGGTCTTGAGGTAGATCATTTCCCAATTTTCTGAGGAACTGCCATATTGATTTCCAAAGCAGTTGTACAAGTTTGCACTCCCACCAGCAATGGAATAGTGTTCCTCTTGCTCCACATCCTCACTAACATGAACTGTCATTTGTATTTTTGATCTTAGCCATTCTGACAGTTGTAAAGACAGAATCTCATAGTTGTTTTAATTTGCCTTTCCCTGATGGCTAAGGATGCTGAACATCTCCTTAAATGTTTCTTGGCCATTTGAGATTTCTCTCTTGAGAATTCTCTGTCTAGATATTTACCCCATTTTTTAATTGGATTGTTTGGTTTGTTGATGTTTAGTTGAGTTCTTTGTATATTTTGGAAATTAGCCCTCTGTCAGATGTGGCGATGATGAAAGTCTTTTCCCATTCTGTAGGCTATCATTTTGTTCTATTGATGATGTCCTTACAGAAGCTTTACAGTTTCATGAGGTCCCATTTGTTAATTGTTAATCTTAGTGTCTGCACTATTGGTGTTCTGTTTAGAAAGTTGTCTCCTGTGCCAGTGTGTTCAAGGCTATTCCCTGCTTTCTCTTCTATCAGGTTCAATGTATCTGGTTTTATAGTAAGGTCTTTGATCCACTTGGTCTTTGTGCAGGGGGACAGATATGAATCTTTTTGCATTTTTCTACATGAAGACATCCAGATAGACCAGCACCATTTGTTGAAGATGCTTTTTTTTTTTTTTTTCCATTGTATACTTCTGGCTATTTTGTCATAAATGAGGTGTCCATAGGTGTGTGGATTTATATCTCATTCTTTGATTCAATTCCAATGATCAACATACCTATTTTTATGGCAATACCATGTGGTTTTTATTACTATAGCTCTGCAGTAGAGCTTGAAATCAAGGAAGGTGATACCTCCAGAAGTTCTTTTGTCATATGGGATTGTCTTAGCTATCCTGGGTTTTTTGTTTTTTTCATATGAATTTTAGTACTGTTCTTTCAACATTTCTAAAGAATTGGGTTGGGATTTTAACAGGGATTGCATTGAATCTGAAGATAGCTTTTGATAAGATGGCCATTTTTACTATATTAATCCTACCAATCCATGAGCATGGGAGATCTTTCCATCTTCTAATATTTTCTTCAATTTCATTCTTCAGAGGCTTAAAATTCTTGTCATACAGATCTTCCCTTTGATCAGTTATGTCATGTTATGATTGTTATATGTTATGTTATATTATCTGTGACTATTGTGAAAGGTGTTTCTCTTGTTTCTTTCTTCGCCCATTTATCATTTTTATATCGGAAGGCTACTTACTGATTCTTTTGAGTTAATCTTGTAACCAGCCATTTTGCTGAAGGTGTTTATCAACTATAGTTTCCTAGTAGAATTTTTGGTATTGCTTATGTATACTACCATATCAACTGCAAATAATGATACTTTGATTTCTTTTTTTCTAATTTGTATCCCCTGGATTTTCTATTGTTGTCTTACTGCTCTAACTAGAACTTCAATTACTATGTTGAATAAATATGGAAAGAGTGGACAGCCTTGTCTTTCTTCTGATGTAAGTACAATTGTTTTCAGTTTCTCTCCATTTAATTTGATGTTAGCTGTAGGCTTGTTGTAAATTGCCTTTATTATGCTTAGGTATGTCCCTTGTATCCTTGATCTCTTTGAAGACTTTTATCATGTAATGGTATTGGATTTTGTCAAAGGCTTTTTTAACATCTACTGAGATGATCATGTGATTTTTTCTTTCAGTTTGTTTATATGGTGGATTACATTGATAGATTCTCATATGATGAACCAACTCTGCATCTCTGGGATGGAGTCTACTTCATCATGGGGAATGATCTTTTTTATGTGTTCTTGGATTTGGTTTGTGAGTATTTTATTGAGTACTTTTGCATCAATGTTCATGAAATTTGGTATAGATTGGTCTGTAATTATCTTTCTTGTTGAATCTTCATGTGGTTAGGTGTCAGGGTGACTGTGGCCTCATGAAAAGAATTTGACATTGTTACTTCACATTTCTATTTTGTATCATAATTTGAGTAGTATTGACATTAGTTCTTCTTTGAAAGTTGTAGAATTGTAGAATTCTGCACTAAAATTTTGTGGCCCTGGACTTTCTTTTGGTTGGGAGACTTTTTAATGACTGCTTCTTTTCATAAGGGGTGATAGGTCTATCTAAATTGTTTATCTGATCTTGATTTAACTTTGGTAAGTGGTATCTATCAAGAAAATTGGGCATTTCTTTTAGGTTTTCCAATTTTGTGGAATAGATTTTTGATGTATGACCTTGTCATTCTTTGTATTTCCTTAGTGTCTATTGTTATATTCCCCTTTTTGTTTCTGATTTTGTTAATTGGAATATTCTCTCTGTGTTTTTTAATTAGTTGGGATAAGGTTTCCTATCTTGTTGATTTTCTCAAAGAACCAACTTTGCTTCACTGATTATTTATATTGTTCTCTTTTATTGATTTCAGATTATTTTCTGCCTATCTACTCCTCTTTGGTGTGTCTGCTTTTTATTCTAGAGATTTCAGGTGTGTTGTTAAGTTACTATTATGAGATCTCTCTGATTTCTTTATGAAGGTAATTAATGCTATAAACTTTCCTTTTGGAAACTTTAATTGTGTCCCATTAGTTTAGGTATGTTGTACATTCATTTTCATTGAATTCTAGGAAACCTTTAATTTCTATCTTTATTTCTGCTTTGACTCAGTAGTCATTCAATAGAGAGCTGTTCAGTTTCCATGAGTTTGTAGGCTTTGTGTTGTTTCTGTTGATGCTGAAATCCAGTTTTAATCTGTGGTTGTCTGATAGGACAGAGGGGTTGTTTCAATTTTCTTCTATCTATTGAAACTTGCTTTGTGACTGAGTAGATGTTCAATTTTGGAGAAAGGTCCCTGAGTGCGGAGAAGAAGGTATATTCTTTTCTGTTTGAGTGAAATGTTCTGTAGCTATTGATTATGTCCATTTGAGTTATAATGTCTCTTGGCTCTAGTATTTCTTTGTTTAGATTTGTCTGAATGACCTGCCCATTGGTGAGAGTCGGGTATTTAAATCTCTCAGTATTAAAGTATGGGGTAAAATGTATGATTTAAGTTTTAGTAATGTTTCTTTTACAAATGTGGGTGCCATTGCATTTAGGGCAGAGATGTTCAGAATTGAGATCTCATCTCGGTGGATTTTTCCTTTGATGAGTATGAAGTGTCCTTTCCCATCTCTCTTGATTAATTTTAGTTTTAAGTCTCTTTTACTAGATACTAGAATGCTACACCACTTGCTTCTTGGGCCCATTTGTTTGTAAAATCTTCTTCTAACCCTTTACTCTGAGGTAATGTCTCTTTATTGTTGAGGTATGTTTCCTTTATGCAGCAGAAGGATGGATCCTGTTTGAATCCATTGTATTACCTGTGTCTTTTCATCGGGGAACTGAGTCCACTGATATTGAAAGAAATTAATGACCAATGATTGTTAATCCCTGTTATTTTGTTGTTGTTGGTAGTGTGCATGCATGCATGTCTGTGTGTGTGTGTGTGTGTGTGTGTGTGTGTGTGTGTGTGTGTGTGTGTGTGTGTGTTTTCATTCTTTAGGTTATACTGGTTTGAGATTGTTTATTTCTTGTGTTTTTGTGGGTGTAGTTAATTTCCTTGAATTGGAGTTTTTTTTCCAGTACCTTTTGTAGGGCTGGATTTGTGGATAGATATTGTTTAAATTTGACTTCATCATGGAATGTCTTTTTTTCTCCATGTAGGGTGACTAGAAGTTTTGTTGGGTATAATAGTCTATGCTGGCATTTGTGGTCTCTTAGAGTCTGTCTACAGGACATCTGTCCAGGCCCTCTGTCTTTTAGAATCTTCATTGAGATGTCAACTGATAATAAAAAAAAATAAAATAAAATAATTTAAAAAATGTTCAACACAACATTTGGATATTGGTTGATGTCATAATACTGTTTGTTATCTGGTTAGGTTCAAGCCAGTGACTTTATCCCTTGTAAATTTCTGTTAAAGATTTATGTAAAGTATTCCATTCCTTCCCCGTGTGATGCTTCCTGTGCAGCTCAATAAATAGAGCAGAAAAAGAAAAAAAAAAGATGTCAGGTGTAATTCTAATAGGTCTGTCTTTATACGTTAGTTGGCCTTTTCCCCTTGCATCTTTTATTATTCTTTTTTTGTTCTGTATGTTTAATATATTGATTATTATGTGGCAGGGAAGATTTTCTTTTTCTGGTTCAGTCTATTTGATGTTCTGTAAACTTTTTGTACTTTTATAGGCATCTCCTTCTTTAGGTTAAGAATATTTTTTTCTGTAGTTTTGTTGAAAATATTTTCTGGGCCTTTGACTGGGATTCTTCTCCTTCTATTCTTATTATTCTTAGTTTTGATCTTTTCATAGTATCCCAGATTTCCAGGATGTTTTATATCAGGAACTTTTTAGATTTAACATTTTCTTTGACCAATGTATCAATTTATTCTATCATTTTCTACACCTTATATTCTTTCTTCCATTTCTTGTATTCTATTGGTTATACTGTGTTTGTTGTTCCTGTCCACTTATGTATGGTTGTTGTTGTTGTTGTTGTTTACCATCTCTAGAGTTCCCTCAGTTTATGTTTTCTTCTATTTCCATTTTCAGGTTTTAGAAAGCTTTATTCATTTCCTTCATCTGTTTTTTTTTTCCTTCTTCTTCTTGGCCCTCTTTAAGGGATTTATTCATTTCCTCCAATTGTTCCAATTGTTTGTTTGTATTCCCAGAATTCTTTAAAGGATTATTTATTTCCTTTTTAAGGATCCCATAGTCTTCATAAAGTTGGCTTTATAGTCATTTTCTTGGACTACTACGGTATTGAAATATTCCAGTGTTGCTGTAGTGAGAGAGCTGGGTTCTGGAGGTGCCATATTGCCCTGGCTGTTGATTGTGTTCTTGTACTAGTGTCTAGGCATCTGGGTTTGTAATGAATGTAGGTCTAGAAACTTATTTTTGAGTTTGTTTTTTTTAGCTGGGTATTTTGTTCCTTGGTTTCTATTATTGTGGTATATATGTGTGGTGGCCAGTGTGACCTCTGATCCATCAAGGAATCTCCATCAGAGTTGAGGGCTGGACTTCTGGCAGTTAGTGTGGCCTTTGGTCCAGCAGGTGATCTCTGTTCTTATGGTTAGTGTGGCCTGCACTTGAGCAATTCGTAACCTCCGAGGATATGGGAGGGGCATGGCAGCTGTGGTGGGTGGTGGTGGCAGTGGTGTCAGCATCTTGGGTCTTTTGGCTCTGAACCAAGGGCCTGGAAGGGTTCAGATGGCATGTGGGGCTCTTAACTGTTCTGGCTGTCCTGGCCTGCACCTATTGCAGGGGGATATGCCCCCTAGCTGGGGTTAGGGGCACAGGGGTGAAGGCTTGGAAAGGGGTGTCTGTGGATGAATCTTTGGCTCCAAACCAAGTGGGTGGGAGGGCTCACACTGTAGGTGGGGCACTTACCTCTTCTGGTTGGTATGGCATGCACCTGAGCAGCAGGTATCCATTGGTGTTTCCTAACTATAGAATCATTATCTGGGATTTATTGGTATAAAGTATGCAGCACCAGAAGTTTTTTACATAGTGAATGCCTTTAATCATTTATTTTTCAAATAGGCAGTTTCCACTAAGACATGTTTTGATGAGAAATGGTAAGATATGCCCATTTTATATTAGTCACCTTCAGTGTTCTGAGTGTTAATGTGATCATCATTTACAAAACAATCATATTTTATTATAATCATGATTGCTACTGCAGCTTGATGTCAGATTCTAGTTATTAGATGTTGTGTATAGATCAACAAGTGAGTTAAATTTTTCAGTGTGAAATCAAGTAATTAATAAATTCCCTGTTTGCTTTCTGTTCTGGGAGACCAACTTCCATATGGTCATTATTTGCTAACATTCCAGACTATCATGGTAAGTGGAGTTTTGCCTAGCAGAAAGTCTTAGATCAAGAATTTGAGGATGCAGGACCCAGTTATACCACTCTTGGGCATATACCCAAGGAATGCTCAATCTTACCACAAGGACACATGCTCAACTATGTTCATATCAGCATTATTCGTAGTAGCAAGAACCAGGAAACAACCTAGATGCCCCTCAACTGAAGAATGGATAAAGAAAATACAGCACATATACACAATGGAGTACTACTCAGCAGTAAAAAACAATGATATCATGAAATTTTCAGGCAAATGAATGGAACTAGAAAATACCATCTTGAATGAGGTAACCCAGACTCAGAAGGACAAACATAGTATGTACTCACTCATAAGTGGATACTAAATGTGAGGGAAGGGATGGCCAGACTGCAACCCACAATGCCAGAGAGGCTAGCCAACAGGGAAAGACCCTAGGAGAGACACATGGATGACTCTGCGAAGGAGAAGTGGATGAGATCTACATGAGTGGACTGGGCATGGGGGTGTGGCAGAGGGCGAGGAGTGGGGGATGAGAACATAGGGAAATGGGAGGATCAAACTGGAACAGGGACAGAGAGGGAGGGCAGGGAGGAAGATACCATGATAGAGAGGACATCATGGGAATAGGAAGATGCAGGGTGCTGGGGAGGCTCTCAGGAATCCACAAGGTTGACCCCACCTTGGTCTGCTGGCAGTGGTCCAGAGGGTGCCTGGACCAGTCTACTCTAGTGACTAGCCTAGCAAATAACCTAGCTGTCATCATAGAGCCTTTGTCCAGTGACTGATGGAGGCAGATACAGAGATCCACGGCCAGGCACCAGGCTGAGCTCCGGAAATCCAATTGATGAGAGAGAGGAGAGATATTGCAGGTGAAGGACATCGAGATCATGATGGGAGGATGTGCAGAGATGACCAGCCACACTAGTGGAAGCCCATGAAATGTGGACTGTTGGCTGTGGAGCCCCCATGGGACTGGACTAGGCCCTCTGGATACGGAAGATGGTTGTTTGGCTCAAACTGTTTGGGGGGCACCCAGGCAGAGGGATTGGGATCTGTCCCTGGTGCATGGGCAGGCTTCTGGAACCCAGTGCTTGTGGTGTGACACCTTGCACAGCTTTGGTGCAGTGGGAACGGGCTTGGACCTGCCTAGGCTCAGCATGCTGGGCTCTGCTGACTCCCCTTGGGAGACCTTGATTTGGGGGATGTGGGGATGCGGAGTGGCTTGGGAAAGAGGGCTGGGAGGAGGGAGGAGGGGAATCTGTGGATAGTATGTGGAGTGAGTAGAAAAATTCTTAAGAAAGAAAAATGAAAGAAAAAAAAGAATTTGAGGATGAACTGCTCTATGCATCACCTTTACTTTGCATCCTGAGAGTCACTATCATAGAGAAGTGGCATTTATATATTAGCATTTATTTGTTTGGTTTTTAGACAGTCATGTAGCCCAGGCTAGCCTCATACTCATTCTGTAACCGGGGATGACCTTGAGTTTCAGATCCTCCTACCTCTACCTCCTGAGTGCTTAGATCACAGGTATATGCCACCAAGCCCTATTGTATGTGGAACTGGGGATCAAACTCATGCTTTCATGCATAAAAGACAAGCATTATGACTGAGCTTGGCCCAGTTTTTAAAACATCTAATAGAATGTCCTGCTTTCTTGAATTTATCACATTTATCATCCGCTTTGTTTTTGTGTGTAGCTCAAAAAAATGAAGAGCAAAGCATCATTGTGTTAATTATTAAATTACTGAGACTACATGAGGTGTTCATGGTACTCAGAGAATATTAATCTTCCAGTAAATAGGAAATACCCTGCTCACTTTTAAGATTTTATTTAAATCTTTCATGGCATCTGTTAACTTTCATCTAAATGAAATTAAAGTAGGCCTTGTACAAGTCAATAACCAACAAATCTGAATGCTCATGGTAGCATATTATGTGTTATTAAAAGACAAATAATTACAAAGCATTTATTATAGCTTAATATCTTTGCAGTCCAAAGAACTTCCACGAGTAAGACATTATCCTTGAGCTTTCACACAGTCATTTACATACCTAGTACACTTGGATTTATGCTGTGTCTGAGCTCAAAAGGAGCCAAACATATTAAGTACAAAATATAGGCATGCTTTCATGAGTGAACGTTAAAATTATGGTAAGGAATGGAGTTATGTATCAGAATACTAGAAGATGTAAATGTATATTTATATTTTATCTGCCATATATACTTAAATGTTGTCCTTTTGTAACCAAAATTCTATCTTTTAACAAACAAGCTGTCTTAGTTAATTTTTTGTTCTGTGGTAAAAACTATGAGAAAAACAACTTAAGAAAGGAAGAGTATATTTTGGTTCACAATTCAGTCCATCATGGTAGAGAAGTCACAGCAATAGGAGTTTAAGGCAGATAGTCACATTGCATCTACAGTGAAGAAGCAGAGAACCATGAATTCCTGTGCTCAGCTAGTTTTCCCATTTCTTAATGCCCAGTCTCAGCCTACTTTTAGGATAGGTCTTACCTCCTTATGATGGTTTGAATAGGAAGGACCCCCACTGACTCATATGTTTGAATACTTGGCCAATAGGGAGTGGCACTATTAGGAGGTATGGCCTTGTTGGAATTGGTGTGGCTTTGTTGGAGGAAGTGGGCTTTGAGGTCTCAGAAGCTCAAGCAAGTTCTTTTCCTGATGCCTGTGAATCAAGATATAGAACTCTCAGCTCCTTTTCCAGCACCTTGCCTGTCTGCATGTCATCATGCTTCTCAAATGGACTAAACATCTGAACTTTAAGCCAACCCCAATTAAATGTTTTCCTTTATAAGAGTTGCTGTGGTTGTGGTGTCTCTTCACAGCAATAGAAACCCTAAGACATTCTTCAATATGAAATTGGCATAATCTCACATGGTCTAAGAATCCCTCACAGGTGTGCCTGAAGTCCTATCTCTTAGGTGATCCTAGATGCTGTCAAGTTGACAATGAATACTTAACACCTACTATAGGAGCCTAGCTCAGAGGAACATTCATAGATCTTAACAGAATCCAGAATCACACACTGTCAGTCTTTAACCCTCAACCTGAAGAGAACTGTATTGTTCAGGATCCTCTCATTTGGACACAAAAATGATCACAGCCTTTTATTCTTATATAGGTTCCTAGTTACTATGTATTCATGTTCTAGCAAACTTCAAAGCTATAATCCAGAAGGACTGTAATCTAGATGTAATTACTGTAGTGAGTTCCTTTAATAAATACTTTTTGAGTCCACAATAAATCTGTGTTATGCTTAATTTTATGTTATTGTTAAGAACAAACTTTAGAGAGTTTTCCATTTCCGTTTATTTTTAACAAAGCAAAATTGCCAGGATTTTAAGTTTATACACTCTACTTCAAGCTATTTGATATGAGACTGTTGAATCTTGATCTAGTTAGAAATAAATAGTGTGTTCTTATAATTTATTCTATTTTTTACATTTCTTGGTTAGTTATCAACCTTTTTAGCGTTTTAACTTTCACATTAAACAAACGTCTACACAAAGCCATAAACATCTATTGTCTTTCAAAGCTAAAAATAGACAATAAAAGGCTTAATTAGTCATTCATGTGCATTTCTATACCATCCTAGCAAGACTGAATAATAAATGAGAGTTTTATATGACTTCAGACATCCCTGTACTTCAACTGTATCATGTCAGTCAAGGCAGGATGAGAACAGTTTTATTCATGTCCCTCACCTTAGGCCACCCCTTGCTATTTGCTCTTCTCTCTCTCTCTCTCCCCCTCTCCCCCTTTTCCCCTCTCCCCCTCTCCCCCTCTCCTCCTGTCCTCCTCTCCCCCTCCAGAGTGAGAGTTTTGAGACAGAGTTTCTCTGTGTAACAGCTGTGACTGTCCTGGAACTTGTTTTGTAGAGAGTAGGCTCACCTCAAACTCATAGAGATCTGCTTACCTCCCAAGTGCTGAGATTAAAGGCATTCACCACTGCCACCTGGACTTTCTACTCTTTTTGAGGGGAGGGTATTCTTTCTCTATAGCACCTCCAACTTCATAATGTCAATTCTTTTACCCTTTAGTTGCACAGTCATGCTTGTCAGCAGAGTTGCTGTTCTCCTTGGTTCAAAGGTAAGTTCTGATATATTGCCACATGTCAAGTGGGCAGTCTTAAGAGCCTGGGACCAGGCGATGTTACCTACTCACAATGTGGAACTGAAGACAGAAATTCAAAGGATGATGATTTTGGTCAACACACATTAAACCATGGCAGGCCATCTGATTGGAGTATTAATTTAAGAAGGCTAGACAAAGATGGAGGATCTAAGAATTGATAGGCAGGGTAGAGAAGGAGCCAGATTTGCTTATTGGAGATGAAAAATGGTCATAAATGAGTACCAAACTTCAGGTGAATGCAAAGAACATAAGTAGAAAAAAATAGTTTTAGATATTTTAGATTTTAAGATCTCTAAAATAGGTAAATGGTTCCAATAGCTAATGGGACATCAGGAGGGCAGCAATGAAGCACATGTCCTTGAGTACAAACTCACTGAGGTCAGAGCCTGCATGAGATCAGCCAAGGAGATTCTGGTAATGTAAAAAAATGAAGGACAAAGACATAAAGAATGCTACAAGAAAGAAAAGGGAGATTGTATTGTTATGAATGCCAATCATGGTAAATATTTTACTTTTTAAAGATTTACTGTGTGTGTGTGTGTGTGTGTGTGTGTGTGTGTGTGTGTGTGTGTGTGTGTCTGTATGTTTGTCTCTGTCTGTGTGTCTGTCTTTGGGTACATGTGTTTGAGTTAAGGTACCCACAGAAGGCAGAAGAGGGCATCAGATCCTCTGGAGGTATAGTCAGAGGGGATTATGGACTATTCCACATCTGTCCTGGGAATTGTACTCTGTTTTTTTGCAAGAGTAGGATGCTTTCTTAACTGCTGAGCCACTTGCCCAAGCCCCAGTATAAATGGTTTAGAACAGTGGTATTTGAATTATGTAAGAATAAGTGAAAGCCAAAAAGAATACTTGTTTTATTTGCCAGCAGTGATCTTAAAATGTTTCAGTAAAGGTCACTTAGGAGTTCAACTGTGAAGAAAAGGGGGGACTGGGGTGGGGATGGGGGGGTGTAGTAAGTGGGGGAAGATCAGCAGGTCATGTATTATCTATATTAACAAATGATAAAATAAGGTCTGAGAGGTAACTCCCTCTGCCTGAAGGTGACAATTGGCTAGGTAACAGTGCAAAAGTAAGGCTATTTATTCAAAGAATCACCCAGTGTAGGGGACATAGTTGTAAGCAGATACCATATGTCTTTATGTGTTGATCCAGTGGCTAAAGTACATGACAGAAATGGCAGTGTAGGTAAGGAAGAGTGGTTTTCCTTCTTGGGCAGAACCTACTTAAGGTGGACAGGAACATTTCATTTTAAGCCTCATTTGGTGTGTTTTTTTGGCTGGATGTGAATATTCTGAGCAATGACAGTCGTGTGCTCCTACTGTGATTTCATTTGTGATATGACCAAGAATGATTAAAAAGTGGCGCACGCCTTTAATCCCAGCACTCGGGAGGCAGAGCCAGGCGGATCTCTGTGAGTTCGAGGCCAGCCTGGTCTCCAAAGCGAGTTCCAGGAAAGGCGCAAAGCTACACAGAGAAACCCTGTCTCGAAAAAACCAAAAAAAAAAAAAAAAAAAAAAAGTAAATTGCATTCCTACAGGTGACCAATTATTTAGCTGCAATACTCTATCACTTGGACAACATGCATGCATAAAACCACATTCACTTGATTAAAAAAACAGATTTTATTTGGTGTTTTTAGAGATGCAAGTGACAATGCCTTCAACTTTCAGCCAATGCCACAATGCCAAGCATGATAAAAGAAATTTACATGTACTTTCTAAAATGAGATGCTGTACTCTTCTCTGCATGATCTGCATAAAAATTGCTGAAAGGTAGTCAACATTTACCCCTAGTCTGAGTAAAAGACAATAGAAATGTCAAAAGGCATTCTGACACTTTATAAATGTTGAATAAACAAAGAGAAGAAAAAATGATGTAAAACTACAGAATGAGAATAATATCAGCAGAAAATAAATATACAAACTGGAGAAAGATTGCCAGTGAAAGAAAAAGATGCTATACAACTGGGATGCTGTTAATGACAGATCAGCAGTAAAAGCCCATTGAGGGAAACTATTTCATTATAGTCAAGATGGTGAAATTTCTGGCCTAGGCGGAGACCTAACATTCCAACTGGACTGAGTTAATTGCTTGGCTTAGGAAGGCATGACCACCCCTAGGATGGTGGCTTCATTTTAAGTCATGCTAAAGAGATAGGTAGAATAATTATCAATGAGATAATGTACTTTTCCTTTCCAGGAATTCTGTCCCATAACCACCAGATTCCTGTCTGCTGCCTTTTTGAATTACCCAGAAAAGCATAATACTTCTTTTTATCTCTGCTTTAAGCATCTTTTCCCTAACACTTTGGACTTCCTTACTCTTTCTCTAAAGCCCCTTTCCTGTCTTGTGATTGCATGCCTGTCATATGGCTAATTGATCTCCATGCTGGATTAACTCAATCAGAATGTCTCCCCACCCCCACCAACTCCCTTCTCTAGTCTTTTCCTCTGGGCAGCTACTGAGTTTTATAGCTTGCCTACCCTGGGGTTTTTCTTTTAAATTCTTAAATTGTACTTGAGCTTTGATTTGAGTTATTTCTTAAGTTCTTTTATTCATAGGACTAAGAACCCCAAGAGGGAGACCCTGACTTCTCTGATATCATTTGAGAGCCATGAAGGTATTCTCTAAAAGTTTTAATAAGATAAAGACTCCTATATTTTGTAGGCAGTAGAAATGGTTGTGAATGTTTATAAATAGGTTTTATATAGCCCCCAGTATTCACACCATGTGATGTATCTGATATGTACACACAAAAGCATGTTAATGTATATATGTATTCATGCATGTAACATGTTTATTTGGCTTCATTTTATTTACTCTGTGGCCTCACTGACCACTTCTTTCCCTGACACCAAATGTCTCAGTTAAAAAGAGAAGAATATTAGAGTATAATCCCTCAGCATTTATGGTAATTATGGAATTTTTGAAACATATATTATTGTGTGTGTATATATATATATATATAAATATATATATATATATATAGTGTACAATAAGAAAGCAACTATGCTATGATGCCATGGGAGAATTTTTCTGTTGTCTCCAAATTTATTTATCTGTAAAAATACCAAATCGTTATTGAAATAAATGATAAACAGCTCTGGTGGTGGTGCTGGTTACTGGTGAAAAGATCATGGTTGTAAGGATTCTGTGTCCTTAAAACATCATCAGCCTGCTACGGCGTCCCAGCCTAAAAAGTGGACATGCCCTCCCACTTGCTTTCTCTCTCTGTACTCTCTCTGTACTTTCCCTCCATGCAGTCTCTCTGTCTCTCTCTGCATCTCTTTGGTTCTCTCTCTCTCTCTCTCTCTCTCTCTCTCTCTCTCTCTCTCTCTCTCCTCCTAATAAAGCTCAAAAAGGTAACCATGGCTTGTGATTCTTCTGCTACCACAATATCTAGCATCAGCCACTAGCGCTGTATACCTGCAGTAGCCATGGCCAGCCACTAGCACTGCTGCTCTACCCCTTCAAAGGTCATGACACAATCTGGTTGCTTAGTAGCAGAGAGCTTTCTTAGGAGGAAGTGGAGGAGGGATAAAAGGACCAGGCCTGGGGAGGAAAGAGAGAGAAAGATGGTGGGGTGGGGGGAGAGGGAGCAGAGCAGAGAGAGGGGGGTGGGGTCTGCATCTGGCTTTTTTAAAACACAGATTGTGTGACCAGACAGCACGTACGTGATCACCAGTGCACACTGATGATGTAAGACATAAGACCCGTTGCTTAACTCCTGAACTGTGCATGTACAGTCGTAGCTGGAGTGAGGGCAGAATTCTAACAATTATGACAAGAAATTTGAGGATATAACATTTGAAAGATATCATGGGTTGTAAACTGTGGCTTCCTTTTTCAAAAGATCCATCAATACTTATCCTGAAGGATATTAAAATATGTCCCCAGATTTCTAAATAAGGAACAGAAGGATTCAGCTTGCAACAAAGTACACAGAGAAAACTGTCAAAATTGGCAGCAGCTATATCCACATAGTTTATCAGAAAACAACAACCAAAAAAAATCTGTCAAATGATACCAGAGAAGTCAGTGTCTCGCTCTTGGTGTTCTTAGTCTTAAGAACCTAGTTCCTAGAATTGACCTAATATTATGGTGATATTTTATTTGTATTAAAATGTTATTTGTAGGTTAATAAATAAAGTTGCCCAGGGGTCAGAGCTATTAGCAAGCCATAGGAAAGCAGGGAATTGGTGGCGTACTCTTGTAATCCCAGCATTTGATAGGCAGAGCTGGGTAAGTCTCTGTGTGTTCAGGGATACAGCCATTATTGGGTACACATGCCTTTAACCTCAATACCAATCATGGAAAACCTGGAGGCCTATACAGACAGGCCGTGAGGAGGCAGTCATGTGGTTGAGTTTACAACCAATGAGAAGGCAGGACAGGAACTCTATATAAAGATTTTAACACAGGGGTAGCTCTGATTCAGAGAGGTAGGACCACTGCAGGAGGAAAGGTAAGGTTTTAGCTCTTAGCTCTGACCTCTTGGCTTTCTTCTTTGCATTGGTTCTGTGTTTCTTATTTAATAAGAAGGTTGGTTACATCTACATTTGGCACCCAATGTGACAAGAATCCATTAAAAACCGCTTGGTTTGGCTTGGCAGCAGGTCTGGTTTCTGGCCTGGGCGGCCCGGCTCCCTAGCTTGGGCCCAGGCCTGACTGACCCCCAGCTGGAGCTACTTGCAACTGCTACAAACAACTCAGGCCTGCCTTGCCAAACAGGGCCCCTGCCTGTAAAGCCAAGGCTTGACTGGGCTCAAGTGGCTACGCTTTCTCTCTTTCTGGATTCACACTTCGAACACCAGGTGGCTGTTTTGAAATTCCCTGGGATTCTACTGTTCTACCCAGACTTGGTAAGTCAATTAACATATCTATTTAAAAGAGAATTTTTTTCTACATTAAAAAAAAAAGGGCTTTATGTGTACATTGGAAGAAAATTGGGC